GCATAGGTGGCTTGTACAAGCTGTGAGAAACTACCACCATTTTTTGTTTTGTTTTTCAAGGCAGGGTCTCACTATGTAGTCCAAACTGGCCTCAAACTCACTCTGTAGTCCAGGCTGGCCTTGAACTTGAGGTGATCCTCCTGCCTCAGCCTCCCAAGTGCTAGAACGACAGGAGTGCACCATCATGCCTGGCTACCACAATTTCAGTGGCTTAAAACAACACAGATTTGTGATCTGCTAAAATTTGTGACCCTCTACGGGCTTCCCTAGGCAAATGCAGGCACAGACTCCAGGGGAGAATCTGCCTGACTGTTTTAGCTCCTAGAGGCAAGCAACCAAACCCTCAGATCATGGCCCCGTCCTCCTCTTCAGGGTCAACAGGCAGCACGTCTGGTCTCTGCCTCTGACCCTCCCATCTCTCGCTTGTAAGGGCCCCGAGGTGATGTTGGATAGTCCAAGACCACCCTTTATCTCAAGGTCCTCCCCTCATCTCATCTGCAGAGTCCTTTTGCCACTGGCGCTCGTCCGTTAACAGATTTTGGGAAGCAGGAGGTGCCTGTGAGCTGCCTGCAGGCCTTGGGAGGCAGACACTGATGCCAAAACGGAGATATGATGGGCAGAGCCTGGGCCCAAGCTTACACAGTGAGCTGCTGGCAAGCACAGGCTTTCTCCTGCATCTGCAAGCCCGCCCAGTCAGGCCATCTGTGTCCAGCTCAGGGACATAGGAGACACAGTCGTCAGGGCCAGGAGGAGGGCACAGAGTACACTCCACAGGGAAGGAGCCACCCAGGGCTGGAGGGGAGCATGGCTGACTCTGCTTTGGAGAGGCCCCAGGGGCTTCCCCAGAGGCTCCAGCCTTCCCTCGAAGAAGATCTCGGGATCTGAGGGGGTTTCCTGGGATTAGGAGGAGGAAGGTGGAAGCCTGGCAAGGTCAGGCTGCTCTGTCTCAAGGCCATCTCCCTGGAAACCGGGGTGACAGCCAGGCTGGTGCATCCAGGAAACCCAGGCTGGGCTCCAAGTTCCCTGTGATTCGCTGACTCAGCCCAAGAGGGTGGTCATGGGGCCCCTTGGGGGCTGGTGGGGACACCCCTGCAAAAGATCAAGGGACAGCAGGAAAGAGGCTCTCTGGACCTCCAGCCCTTGTTCCCTAGCCTCTCTAAGGAAGACCTTACTTTCCCTTGCACCCCACTCTGAGGGAGTAGTGCAGGGGAGTTGAGCCCACCACATGGATGGGGGAGGGCAGCAGCCACAGCCTAAGCCCTAACATTTCATTAGCACAACTCTCAAGCATTCTGAAAAAGCCAGTTGTGGAATGAATAACCCATGCCCAGACACTTTAAAAATATGTTCTTATTAGCACCTATTAAATTCTACAGATGATTGGATTTTAGTGTGGTATTTTTATACATGCATACATTTTAATAATAGTGACTCCTCGGGCTGGGGATTTAGCTCAGTGGCTTAAGTACTTCCATGGTAAGCACAAGGTCATGGGTTCGATCCCTGGTACTTAAATAAATAATGTGATTTCTCCATTCCTTTTTTCTGGCCCACTAACAGTCTCTGATTCCACGTACTAAGGAAAATGTGTGGTGCTTACCTTTCTGAGTGTTTTACTTCGCTTCACACGATGACCTTTAGTTCGATCCACCTGCCTGCAAATGGCATAGCTTGGTTCTTTATGGTGGAATAATCCCATCGCACATGAATGCCCCATTTTCTTTTTTTAAAAAAAATTTTATTTAAGGAGAAAAAAGAAAAAAAAAACAGAAAAAGGGTACAAGTTATACAGAATTTCAGAAAAAATAAACAGTAGGAAATCACTAGTTAATTACGTATTGTCATCTTAGAAATAGTTGTTGAAGTTACAAAATTAAAGCATATAGAGGGGACTTTCAAACAGTAAGACTGCAACCAGTTTTGTTCAATGATCCAACAAAACAGTAATATGGTTATCTATCTTATACACTTAAATATATATATGCAGTTATATCTTTTAGAGAACTTTCTTTTCCTTTCTTTTGTACAATGACAATTACACATTTTGGGTTTTATTACTCCCACAGTTCTTATTACTTTTTTTTTGAAGAAAGTAAAACCAAATGTGACATACCAGGACAGAGTCAGTCAAATCAAAAGGATGGACATAATACATAATGTAAAACAAAATACAAGGTGATCAACAATGGTTACCATAATGCCTCTTGTTATCTTAAAAAGAATTGCCTATATCATCAGTTATAATAAAATTGAACAAAACAGTAAAGAACAATAAAACCAAAACATTGGAGACATTAGAGGACTTCAAAAGAAGATAATAGTCAACCAGAATGGGCATCACAATGAATCTTATTGTCTTCATAGTTGTTGCCTATACTTTCAAACTTGGTACTGTCTAGAATACAGGAAAATCAGTCAAAACAAGATGGTGAGGGCAATACAGAGTTTCAAATCAAGTTAATAGGAAATCAAAGTGGGTTACTATAATATATCCTGCTATTTTTTATTTATTTTTCCCTTAATTAAAAGGATAAAAATGAAAAAGTAGATAATAAAAAGGAGATTGAGATAAAAAAGAGGAATGCCCCATTGTCTTTAACCATTCCCCGCTGGATGGGCACACAGGCGGGACCTACATCTTGGCTATTGCAAATTGTGCCACAATAAAGAGGCATAAGCAGGTAACGCTAGAGAGCGATGGTGAAACCACTCTGGGAGAGCGTCTAGAAGCTTCTCTTAAAGTAAACATTCGTGTATTATATGACTCACTGCTATGTATTTACCAAAATGAAGTGAAAACTGATGAAATCCATGAGCTGTGGCTGGGTGGTGTTGCCTCAAAGTTCGCACAATGGAAACTTATTCTCCGAATCACATGGGGATGATGTTTGAAGGTGAGGACTTCCGTGGGAGGTGATGAGGATTCGATGCAGCCATGAGGAACCTTCCATGGTGGCTTTTTAACCAGAAGAAGGGAGGCTCCTGTTAGCATGCTTGTTCTGTCTCGTCATGCTGATACCTCCTGCATGTTACGACAGTGTTGTGGTCTGGATATGAGTTGAGCGTGTCCAGTGGAGATTCCTGTGCTAGAGGCTTGGTCCCTGGTGTGGAGACGGTAAGCAATGGAGGCCCTTTGAAGGGGTGGCCACCCAGTGGGAGTTTATTTCGGGTGCTGCCCTTGAAACAGGTTAAGCTGATTCACTTGAGACCCTGGTTAGATCCCAGTTCTCATAAGGGGGTTGCTATAAAAAAGCAAGATGGTGCACCCCCACCTTTTCTAGCTTCCTGTCTCATGTGATTCCCTCCTCTTCTAAACTCTTCCACCCTGATACGATGCAGCCAGGGAGCCTTGCAGGAGCCCCTGACATGCTATTTGGACTTTGAGCCTCCCAAACAGTAAACTAAATAAACCTCCTAATAAAGGACTCAGCCTCAGGCATTTTGTCTCAGCAATAAAAAGTTAACTAATTCCTACAGCGAGAAGTCCTTATCATAGTCCTTCACCATGTTCTTGGACTTCCCAGCCCCCAGAAACACAAGCAAACTAACCTTCTGTTCTTTATAAATTACCGACTTGTGGGTGTTTCGTTACAGCAACATAAACCTGACTAAGACATCATTACAAAGATTTGTATAGAAGCTCAACTCATAAGAGCTCACCTTAGGAACAATCCAAAGGGCATCAATAGGTTTTATGGTTTAGATCTAAAATGTCCCACAAATATCTCATCTGTTTGGAGGGTGATTAGCTCATGGGGGTGCAATAACTGGCTGGTTAGAAGGTTGATGCCTGGTTGGAAGTGGTCACAGGGGACATGGCACGGAAGGTGTATTCTTGTCCCCATTTCCTCTCTTCTCCTTCTGCTTCCTGGTTGCTGTGGGGTCAGCAGCTTTCTTCCGCTGTGCCCCTCTGCTGTCCTCTTTTCTACCTTGGACCACAGACTGAACTGTGAGCCAAAAACGAAGCTCTCCTTCGGTTGTGGATGTTTAGCACTGTGCTTCATGGCCAGGAAAGTGATCCAGAGAGCAGGGGAATGGACCAGTGAATTGTGGAATATGACTTGGTAATAAAAACGAGTAGATTACTGATTCATATGACATAGGGAAATGCTAAAAGTACCCTGTCCTGTATAATCCCATGTACATGGAACTCTGCAAAAGGCAAGTCCAGCTAACAGTGACTAGACACCACATTAGTGGGGTCTGGGGCAGGGACGGGGTTGGGGTTGGCTAGCATGGGCCCCACGTGTGGTTTTGAGGCAGGATGGACATGTTCTTTCTGCGTAGTGTTCTTTTTTCTTCCTGTTCTGTGCTGTCCTAGCCAGGTAGTCTGGGAGCTCAAGTAGCCTTTCATCCTGGAACTAAAATCTGCTGGCCTGGACCTTTCTCCTTGGAAATTCTCAGAGAGCCCCAGGCCCCCAGGATGCAAGCAGGAATCTTTGGGAGTGCAGGGTGAATTCAGATCAAAAGTCCCCAGTGTGAGAGCCAGGCTCCGTAAGACCTGAACCCCTATGTGAGTTCAGTCACATCATTCTCTGAGATGCATTCCCCATCTATGTTCCACCCAGTGGTCACCGGAAGTAGGTGGGTTGAAGGGCACTCCTCACCCAATCTGGGAAGCCCCCAGGGCTTTGTCTGGCTTCTCAAGACACGGGGCTAGTGCCACAGATCTCACCGGAGTCTCTTTCTAAAGACAAAGGTGGCTCCCACAAATGCCTGTGTGTCACTCCTTCATGCACTCCTTGTCAGATCTTTCTATGCCAGCTACTCATGAATGGAGGCGTCCCCAGTGTAAGGATTGGGTGGGGTCCATTCCTGTGTCCCCAGCCCACTTCGACTAAGCTGTGTTCTGGGATCCTGTCTTCAGACCCTCCTGGCCCAGTGGGCCTGGGCAGAGGGCATCATGGGACCACGTGGTTATCTACAGAGGTCATGAATCACTTCCGGGTAGTAAACCAGTCTCTAGCATAAAGCTAGCACATCTCTCCAGAGCCAGGAGCTTAATTTCTCAAACGTTTATTAATGGTTCAGAAATACAGGAATCAAACAGCCCATCCCTCAGTTTCCTGGCTGTGTCTAGGAAGAGAGGTGAGGTCGGACGACTCAGGTGTAGGAGCAGGCATTTTGGAACTTGTGAAAGTTAGGTTAAGATGGAATGTAGGGGGTATGGGTGAGGCTGGAGCAGGGGTCTGGGGGGCAGGCACTAGGCAGGGCTGGGTTGCACTGAGGGGTTCTCAGTAGCAGTGGATGGAAGTCTTGGCGAGCATTCTTGGAGCATGCGCAGATTCTAGGACTCCACCGGTGGTGGGTGTGGCCTGGAAGTGGGCGTGGCACGGAGGTGGGCGTGGCCGGCCTAGCAGCTGCTCCTCTTCTCACAGATCCAGCCATCTCGTTCGCTGCTACAAGGCGCGTCGTTCCACAGCCCTGAGTGAAGCATCATGACGCAGTCCTCCTTGCTCTGAGAGTCATTGGGCTCCCCCACGTTCCAGTGGCTGCGAGGATGGAACATGCAACGGGGGGGGGGGCTTGCTGGGTGTCTGGGCTGCGGTGGACCTGGGGTCCAGCCTTCCCTGCTAGGGTCTAGCCTGTTGATGGTTTGGCTCCACCCTGGACGCCCCGATGTCTAACGTGAGGGTGCATCTGGGAATGTATAATTTCCTTCCCATCAGCCCGTGTTTTCGGTGTGTTATGTTTATACTCCTCGAGGAGCTGGTGCGTCTCCATAACATGCCTGTCTCTCCCTGCCTCCCTTCCCCTCTGTCTCTTGATCTCCTTCCCTTTTGAGAAAGACTGATGCTCCTACGCCCAATTATTTCTTTTTATTTTGCTCTTTATTTGTATTTTGGGTTTCTCACAGAAGAGAAACTATGTGATATTTAAGTGTTTGTGTCTGATTCAATACATTTACTATTATGGTTTCAAGGTGCATCCGTTTTCCCACAAATGACTCGGGCTTACCCTCGCTTATGACAGAGTACTACTGCATTGTGTGTAACACATTTTCTTTATCCACTCATCTGTGGACAGGCATCAGGCTACTTCCCAGATTGAGCTATTGTGAATTGTGCTGCTATAAAACATGGGTGGGCGCAGATTACTGTACCTTTCTAAGGTTACCGCAAGACTTAGCTTTTCTAAGAATCTAGCCAGAGCCAAGGACTTTCCTGAAATGTGGCCCAAAGCGCTCCCACTGGGGTTTAACTTATCTACCTCCCACATCTCACCAGGAGCTCTTTCTTCACCTGAAGCTGATGGAAACTCCGTCCACCCACTGGTAGCCTTGGACCCGGCCTCCGCTGCGCACAGCCCTCAATCCCAGCCAGTATCCACGGCCACGCGTGTGTCGAGTCAGGAAGCCCTGAACCGGACAGAGACCTGAGTGAGCAGCAGAGGCAAGACCTCGCTGCGCCAGCTGGGCTGTGTTTGCGCAGGTGAGCCCTGCTGCCCTCCGCTCTGCCCCAGCGGCGCTCACCTGCTCATCCAGGTCACCGATGATCACCAGGTGCGCGGCGTTGCCCACGCAGTTGCGCTCCGCCTCTTGCCAAGTGGTTCGGGGCTCCGAGAAGTAATAGCAGGAGCCCCGGAAGGGCAGCCACGATGTGGGACACTGCCCGCAGGAACCTGCGGAGGAGGCGAGGATCCCACAGGTGTGCTTTCCCAGGGAGAATGGAGAAGAGAAGGGTTGGAGCCCCAGGTCAGGGGTGGGGGATCCCGGAGGCCTCCCCCAGGTAGGCCCCTCATGCTGCTCACCGTTCTGAAGCTTGGCGGCCTCCAGCGCCCGGAACAGCTCGTTGCGAATGTTCTCGCGGTCCCTGCCCGCTGTAGCCAAGTCTTGGGTCACTGCAGAGTCAGGGCAGGGGACACTTCAGCCACTTAGGATCAGAAGCAGAGTCACGCACGACTCGCTAAGGGTGAAATTCTAAGGCCTTGGTCAGCTCCCCTTTGATGTTTGGGGTCATGTAGGACACAAGGTCCGGACAGTTATAACCAGGTAGACTACTGCCATGACCGCGAATAGGAGTTGTGGACAAGATCAGAGTCCAGCGACCAGGAAGGGGTCACAGGGGTCAGGGGGCGGGGTCAGGCCTGGTTCGGTCCTCACCGCGCAGGCTCAGTTCTTCCAGGGCGCTTTTCTGCTGCATTAGTTTCACCTGCGCCTCCCGCATCTCCGCCAGAGCCGCCCGCACCTCTCTCTGCGTCGCGTTGCCTAAGAAGGGGTCGGGGATAGCGCGGCCTCAGGATGCATGCGTTTTCCTGCAGACGGCTCAACTTTCTCCTGTCTTAGGGCGGAAACCCAAAGCATAATTTACACAACAAAATAAAGGCTGGCGAATAGGAACTAGGAAGACAGAGCTTTTTTGCAAATTGAGAACGGGGATCGAGGGATGGGGGCAAATGAGGGGAAAAGGAGGGAAGGAAATGAATTAATGAATTAAATGAAAAAAGAATTAGCACACCAGCTCCCCATGAGACGCGTAATCCGTGTGTGCTGCAAACATAGACAAATACAAAGAGAAAGGAAGGAAGGGTGGGTGAGAAGGGGGGGACCCTGCCAGACCTCTGGCCGCGAGCCCCACCCACAAGCCACGCCCACGCCCAGCCGGGGTCTCACAGCAGCTCTGGCAGGCTCCGACCTCACCCTTCAAGGCGCCCAGCGCCGCCGTCTGCTTGGAAGCTGGAATGACAGCCCCGCGCGCAGCGCACAGGCTGGTCACGTAAGGGCCCTCAGGGGACGCCTTCCCCAGTTTGGGGTGGGGCGGCCCGGGGACTCAGCTGCGATCCCATGTGAGTCCCAAGCGCTCCTGCCCTACACGCCCCGGCGCCTCCCGTCCCCGCCCATCTCCCTGTCCCTTCTGCATTCACCGTTTGTTCTCAGCAGGTCCTGGTGAGCAAGCAGTGCCCCGCGCTCCGTGGAGGCTGCAGAGAGAAGGTCACGCGCCTCGGCCAGGGGAGGAGGGAGGTGGCTCGGGACCCCCCGCCCCCCGCCCAGGGGATGCTCCCGAGGCCACACCTCTCCCCAAGAAGGAGGCACTCACCCTTGGATGAGATGACGCTTAGAATGAGAGCCCACAGCACGGTGACTGCTAGGATGGCCAGGGCCAGGGAGAAAACCCATCGCCTGAGGTGTTCCCAGCGCCCCCAGTGCCCTAGAAGAACTCAGAGGGATCAGTGGCCTGTGTCTTGGGCTGAGGTCCAGAGAGGCTAAGTAACTTGCCTGCTACCACATAGCCTTCAACACCCCAGTCTACAAGGGTCCATCGCTGTGGCGTTTCTCCTGCCCGTATTTCTTGGGTGCTCTGCCTCTTCCTGTCCTCTTCCCTTTAAGACCCCAGACCCTTGGACCGAGGGACCCGAGGGGGTCAGAGAGGCAGCCCCATTGCTCACACCTCCGGGTACTTCCTCGGGGCTGCTGTCCCACTGGCTGTATCTGACAGTCTCCATGGTGCCTCAGGCACCCGGCTTGGGCAGGGCTGGACCTTTAGCTCTAGGGCCCACCCTGGCTCCACCCTCTTCCTTCCCTTTTCCTTCGCCTCCATGAATCCCAACAGGAACCTAGTCATTGACCAATCAGAGCGCTGGGCCCTTGCTGGGCTGAGAGTGCCAGGAGATGGGACAGTTCTAGTGTCCCCAGCCGGTGGGGCTTCCTCTTGGACTGAGGTGCTGGAATCTTCTCTTTGGAGCTCCATCCTGATCTCCCATGGGCTGAGAAGGATGCAAGGAGCCCAGCTGTTGTAGTCAGGGTACACCAGGTAATAGATTGAATGCAGGACACATAGGATTATTTTATACTGTTCATCCCAAAAGTCAAATGCAAAAGAGTGTGAGTGATCATCTGTCCATACACTAGAACTCAAAGAATCCAGCTGAGGGCCTGGATCCCATGACAATGTCTTGTACGAGTCCAGCTGAAGACCTAGAGTTCATAGCAATGTCTTGTGTAAACCTGTCAAGGATCTGCTCCGGGAATGCCGAAAGGTCAGTGGTGGAAGCTAGAAAGTCTGCACCAGAGGGTGAAGAACCTGTGCCAATAGGCTGAGGGGTCTGAACCAGAGCCAGGAAGTGATGTTCAAAGGATCAAAGCTCCCCCGAAGAGAACTGCAGGCATCCTTAGTGACAGTGAGGACCCGAGCTCCTCTGCCGACAACAGCTGAGTTCGTATTAGGAAAAGCAATGTGACAAGCTTCTCCTGGAGGATCAACAGTGCACTGTTTTCACCTGCAGCTTTATGCTGTGACAGCAATCTCAGCTGGGCCTTCCACACCCAGAACCACAATGATTCAGTTCAGCTGGGTTTTCCAACCACTAGTTAATCCACAGCACCAAGCAAATTAGGTGTGGCTTTTTCAGTTTCTCTGCAGGTGCTTTCCAGGAACGGTGTTTGGCTGTGACCTGAATTCAGTCATTGTTGGTCAGATGGGGGACAGGCAATTGTTAGGGTGGCCAACTTAGCTCCTGAATTCCGCTACAGGATGGTGGCTAGATGGGGCAGCATATGACTGCCAGAAGCTTCAGTCTTCTTCTATATATATACAGATAGGGCCTCCCTCAAAGAGACAGTGTAATAAAAAAAATGAGGTTATTTGCATCAAATCTAGCACCATCCGAGGCCCATACCCATCTCAGTTTCAGCTAGCCGGGAAGCTGAGGAAAGAAGATCACAAGAGCCCAGGAGTTTGGGGCCAGCCCAGGCAACGAAAGGAGATCCTATCTGAAAAGCAAAACTAACACACTGAGTGTTCATGCATTCTTTTTATTTTATTATTTATTTTGCATTGCTTCAGCAAATATTAGGCACAACATGCCAGGCATTGTTCTGGGATCTGGGGCTATATCACTGAGAAAAACACATTTCTTCCTCTTTGATACCAACATTATAGTGGGTGTGGTGGTGGACTAAATATAAACATAATAGATGTAATTTAAAAGACAAGTCTTCTTCTTTTTTATTTTTTTTTGAGACAGGGTCTCACTATGCAGTTCAGGCTGGCCTTGAGCTCATTTTGTAGCCCAGGCTGGTCTGGAACTCGCAACGATCCTCCTGCCTCAGCCTCCTGAGTGCTGGGATTGCAGGCATGAGCCACCATGCCCGGCAACAAGTCTTTTTTAAAATAGAATGGTTATCGACTGGAACAACTGTGATTCCCAGGGAATATTTGGCAATGCCTGAGGCTATGTTTAATATCCATCGTCAAAAGTTGGAAGGTGCTGTGCCACTGATCATTAGAGGGTAGAGGCATGGATGTTGCTCAACACCCTACAATACGTGGGCAGCCACCACAGCAGAGGATGGCCCAGTGTCAGCCTGCTCAGGAGGCCCAAGGGAGATTTTTGCAGGTGAGGTCCCAAGTTAAAGAACACATGTGTGCGAGACATCAGCAACAACACCAGGCAGCGTGGAGCAGAGCAGAGAGCCAGAGCATGAGCTGCCTGTGTCTTTACTGTATAATTCTTATACAGGTTGTTACTGTGTGTTTACATTCTTATATACTACTGTAACCAGCACATGCATGTTTACCTGTGCTAAGTCATGATTACATAACTATGTCCCATTGTGCACTTGCACTAGACAAATTAGGTTATGTCCACAGGTGTCCTTGGATGCCCCCGAGCTTTGAAGCAGTCTGAGTGGCTCCTCAAACCCAGCCCCAAATGTCCATCATGCTAACACATATAACTTTTTAACGCATTGAGTTGTATGAGCATAGGCTGAGTTGTATGAGCATACTACTCAATGCATTAAAAAGTTATATCTGTTAAGACCAAATTCAAAGGAATCTGAGAGTGAGACATGTAGAACCAAGTGCTTGTGTAATTCCCCAGAGAGAAAGCAGACTGATTATTTCTGCCACTGAGCTGAGGATAGCTGGTTTCATGGCCAGACGTCATTTTAGTAAAGTTAGGCTAGCCTCAGCTCTGAGCAAACAGCCATTCCCAGCAAACGCCATGCACAGTGCTGGGAAATTTGTAGCATGTCTTAAGTAGAAGTGGGTTTGAGTTTATGAAGAGAAGGAGCTCACAGTGGCCTTCAAGTGTTACCTGGGAGTCACGCCTCTCAGCCTCTTGATGTCTCTTCTCCTCCCTCCTCTCCCTCTCTGTTGCTCTGTCTCTGTCTTTCTGTCTGTCTCTCTCCATAGTAATCTCCAGTAACTGCGACATGCCTGGGGTTCGAAATAAACTTGCTCCTATAAACAGATGCACAGGCAACACAGAGTCAGCCATCTCAGACACACAGCTGTAACTATTTTTAGCCAGAAATGCTTCATGTATTTACTTTTATTCAGTTTTTATTTTTTAAAAGCAGCCTGCTTTGTTGAGTGATTATTCATGTACAAAAAGAACATATTTAAAGCATACAACTTAATTAGTTTACACATACACACATATAAACACACCCACACATGGTCCTGAAGTATCTCTAGACTCGGGCATATGCCTGTAGTCCCAGCACTTGGGAGGCTGAAGCAGGAGGATTGCCATGAATTTGAGGTCAGCCTGGGCTACACAGTAACACTCTTTTTGTAAAAAAAGGACAGAATATCTTCAGACTCCCTATTGTTTCATTAAACTAATAGCAGATCTCTGTGTGTGTGTGATGCAGATGTTGGAACCCAGCCTTACACATGCTAGGCAAGTACTCCATCTCTGAGCTGTACTTCAAGCCCTCAAAAATGTTTTTAAAAATGGTATTGTTACTGAGTAAGGACAGACTTTGGTCATTATTCCCTAAACAATGCAGTCTACTCACTGTGTGCACTGCATTTACATTGCATTAGGTGTTACAGGCACTCTACAAGGGATTCAAAATTATTTGGGAGATGCTGTGTAGGCTGTAGGCAGGCACTGCCTCAGTTTATGATACGGACCTGAGTCTCTGTAGAGTTTCCTCCTGGGGCCCATGCCCTGGAGCTCATCTCCCTTGGTTTCTGGGGATGACTGTAGGTATCCACGGAGCCACCCCCCCTTCATGACCCTCGCTCTCTTCCCTGATGTCCTTGCTACCTTACGTGGCAGCCACTAATCTTTCTGTTATTAAATCAACTTGCATTTTCTGGAAGTGACGGGCACAGTATCTTGCTTTTAGACTCTCGTCTTTCACTCAGTGCAATTATTTTACGATTCATTCATGTTACTCCCAGGATCAATAATTCATTCTTTTCAAATGCTGAGCAGTATTTTGTTATATGTCTGGACCACAGTTGCTTATACATTCACTTGTTGATAGATGTTTGGGTTGTTTCCATATTTTGGCTCTTAAAAATAAAGCTAAACTGGGCAGAGTGGTGCAATCCCAGCCTGTAATTCCAGCTCCTTAGAAGGCTGAGGAAGGAACATTGCAAGTTCCAGGCCAGCCTGGACAACTTAATGAGACTCTGACTCAAAATTTAAAAAGTGGAGGCTGTAGCTCAGTGATGAAGTGCCTGTGAGTTTGATCCCCAGTACCTCAAAAAAAGCAATTTTGAGCATTTTATTTATTTATTTATTTATTTATTTATTGGTACCATGAATTGAACTCATGACCTCACACTTGCCAGGCAGGTGCTGTTATGTACTTTTTAAAGGGTAAGTACCCACAAGTGTATAGATAGGTCCTATGAGTAGAGAAGTGTTCCATTGTTTAAGGAGCTGCCATGACTAATGTGGGACCCCCTAGGTTTGATCCTGAGTGCAAAAAAGTACAACAGAACTCCAGAACAAAACATCCAAAGGAATTCCTACTATTTTATTTTCTGCCTAACAAGGTCGAAGAGTTTCAGTGCTCCCACATCCTTGCCAATACTTGTTTGGGGTCAGAGCTGGACTTGAACATGCCTGTAATCCCAGCAGTCAGCTGAGGCAGGAAAGTCTCTGTGAGTGTAAGTGCAGCCTGGGCTATGAAATGAGTTCAAGGCTAGCTACACAGAGAGACCATGTAGTGAGACCCCGTCTAAGATAAACTCAAAAACCTTATTTGGGAGGAAATATAGCAAAATAGTACAGCAATTAGAATGACTGTAAGAAAATTGTAAGAATAATTGTGATATGTGTATTTCAATACCTTTTAAAGATCTGGAAGAAATAGAGAGTTTCCTAACAAAATGTAACCTAAGTTTGTAACGTAGAAGGTGTAGACAGCAGTGAGGAAGAGACTAGGAAGCGGGTTGATGAATTAGCTTGTGAAAGAGGTGCTGGGCCCAGGTGACAGTGTGGTCCCTCCTGACCCAGCAGTTCCTGGCTTTATACTGCTTTCTGTGGGAGTTAGGGTGGACTGTCGACTGTTTTAGCTTTTTGGTCTGTGCCAGAAGACTGGTGGAGCACACTCCCGGGTGTGGCTGGGTGCCCATGAGGCTGGGGCCTTGGGTCTGTGTCTGATCTCACTACTTCTCTGGCATTGTCCCTGCACTGTCCTTTCAGGCCACCATGAGCCAAGCAATCTGCTTCTTCACGTCCTTCTACCGTAATGTTTCTGCCTTGAATCCATCATGTACTGAATCCCCAGAAACCATGAGCTAAATTAAACCATTTCCTTCTTGAAGTTGT